ATGTTTCACATGCTGAGAATGCTAACCTAACATATAAGTATATAACCATAAATGTTTAAGAATCACTTTTATGATTCATGATCAGGTCTTAAACCACACGCTCACGCCAGAAAACTACTAATTGGCCAAAATGCTTCGTTTGACTTTTCGGAGATCATCTACTCTTCCCCTCTGACTTACTTTTTGTATGATCTGAATTTCTGCGTATTGAATTTTAGAATATTGAATTTGATGTTCTGAATTTCCTCTTCATCTTGAAAACTTGAAGCTGTATTTTTAAAAAACTGGATATTTGCAGTCTAAGATTTTAGAACAAAAAGAATGATGTTTGAACATACATGTCTATAAAATTCTGCCTAAAAAAATTAAGTTGTGTTAAATTTCAAATGTTTAATATTAAAGTTCAAAAAAATCTAATTCAGAACTATGTTAAATGCCACATAATATTCAATTTTGTTAAATGACACTTGTCAATAATTCAAATTTACACAATACAAATTCAATTCGTTTTGTCATATTATAAGCTTCATAGTTGAAGCCCGTGCATTAATGCGCCCCTGCACACAACACATCAAATAACACTCAACAATAAAATAATATAATAAACATAGGCTAACTATACTAAATTAAATCTATCGTAAACACTCTATTGTAAAACACAAATAACATAAGAAGAAACTAACTTTTAAATATACAAAACAAATGTGATTGTTCGCACAGCGAATTGTTGAATATATTCTCTCATTAATTATATGGCGAATTATATACTGCAAGACTGTCAGGAACTGTATCATAGCTGTTAATGCACTTGAAATATTAATGATACATTTCGTTGAGTACAATAGCATTTTTGAGGCCCATTTAAACGTGTTTGAGGTTCTCCAGAGGGTTCAGTCAGTGAAGTGATCTGAGAAACAAGTATCTTTTCATTTAGAAATGTATTAACTGTCTTCTTTGATATGCGCAATTTGGTAAGGTATCCTGCAGGTAAACAACTAACGGATCTGTTGTCCTTCAAAATGTTTAATATATATATATATATATATATTATTATTATTATTATTATTATTATTAGGAGCTAGGACACTGTGAAGTCGATTGTGCAAGATAAATGTTAAAGAAGTTAGATACTGAAATCTGTTTTTAGACTCTCAACAACTGCGTGTCACCTGAAATCTGTGGATAGATAGCAGAATATCGAGAGAAGAGACATGAGAGTACTTCTAAAGCTATGTGTGTGCGTGTGTGCGTGCATGCGTGTGCGCGCACGCATAACATCACTGTTCGCGCCCGGTGCCTCACTCGCAGGTTGGATTCGGTGCATCGCGGAAACCGAAGTGCTCTCGTGATGCCGCGTGTGTGGAGTACAGATCGGCGGGGCGCAGCCGCCGCACAGGTACAAGCGCACCGCGAGCGCGCAAGTTATATCCAAACCGAGAATGCCCAGAGAGACGGCGTTATCTCCAGCTGCTTCCCACACCGAGTGGTGGACACTTGAAGAAGGGTGAAGCGTGAACTTTGAAGCTAAAGCTGGGAGTATTTGACGCTACCAACTGAACATGACTTTCATATGCACTCTAGGATTTAAAAGTTCGCAAAAATGAAGTTTGGCAAAAGCGTCTGTATCATAAACGTGGGTGGCACCAAGTACGCGTTTCCAAAGGACGTAATCAAGGATTTCCCTTTGAGGAGAGTGAGTCGTCTCCACAGTTGCGCCTCGGAGAGAGAAGTGCTGGAAGTGTGCGATGATTACGATAGAGAGAGGAACGAGTTCTTCTTTGACAGACATTCAGAAGCGTTCGGCTTCATTATGCTGTACGTGAAGTACGGCAAACTGCGTTTTGTCCCGCATATGTGCGAGCTGTCGTTTTACAACGAGATGATTTACTGGGGTTTGGAAAGCTCTCATTTGGAGTTCTGCTGCCAGCGGAGACTCGACGAACGCATGTCCGACACGTACACTCACTTTACCGAGGAGCACCACAAAACGGCCAATGAAATTAGTAGGACTGATGACTCGTCAAATGGGAAGCGGGACTCAAAGTGGCTGGAGCGAATGCGCAGGACTTTCGAGGAGCCCACCTCCTCTCTGGCAGCGCAAATTTTGGCGTCCGTATCGGTGATTTTTGTCATTGTGTCCATGGTAATACTTTGCGCAAGCACTCTTCCTGACTGGAAAACTGCCGAGAGCAATATAGTGGAAGAGCACAGGTACACAGACTCTTTAGAGCATCCATCCGGGTATTTATGTTTTCTTTCTTGTATAAACTTCCTAACTTTTTGGTGAGATTTCAGCAAATGTCCTCACAGGGGTCGTTGACACAGAATGCGTTCTTGTGTTAAAAAAACAAACAAAAAAAAACCCCCAGCTAGACGCCACGCAGCGGAAATGAAACTGCATGCATAGATGTCTCGACTAGTTTTTAAACGTCGAATATCTTTTAAAGGTGCACTTAATTTTAACTCTTAATAAAACACTAAACATGATAAAATAAGATAAGATACTTATTTATAAATATGTAATTTACACTCGCATGCAATAGAGAAGCCTAATGATAGCTGTTTTATTTTGCATGGAGAGGGTCTCCTCATGGGGCGGACATGTTGAAATCACATGACTAGCCAAAGCTACTCCACTTTTCGATATAACTTTACTACTGAATATTTTCGCTCATGAAGGAAAAAAAAAAAAACATTGTTAAAACATTACCCCAAGCCCCGAAATAAAGGGGGCCCACATATCAACCAATACAACAATCAAAAAGGTAGTGTCTGTAACTTTAACATAGTACAGCGTCTTAAAAATGTAACGTTCATGTCATGGTGTGCTGAGGGGGAAAAACAGTGAAATTAATCTCAGTGGTCAAAGATGTCTGTCTAACCGCACTTAGGCATTTTTTCTCTTCTGATTTTCCATCCCACTGCCATGAAATTCACTACAAATGTATTCTATCACAGTACTGATTAAATTATAATTTTATTTTATAATTTATTATGCTTTATATAGGTCACTAAGAGCAGTTGTTTTTTTTATGGATTAATAATTAAATGACAAATCTTTTAAACTTTCAAATGTTCTCCTGAGTTACTCTTTACCCGCCACTCCTGACCACAACATAGAAATCTGGTTACTTATACGAGGTAATGCAGACTTCAATTGTGCAGTGTGCAAGCTTGGCAAACAAAATGGACATTTGACACAACGTTGTTTTTGAAATGTCTGGAATCACCTAATTAATTGCAGTTATTTTATTACTTTTATTCTAGGCTATGTTCTGTCTGCACTATTTGATTTAGGCTAAAAATAAGTCAGATTATGTCTTTGTCCGTTGCGTGGTGTCTCACGCCATGAGCAGTCAAAATCAAATTCAACTTCTAAAAACACATCTCAGCTGTTTTAATGCAAGCTGTTTGTCCAGCTGTTTTAATACAAGAACACATCATGTGTGTGTATGTGCCCCTATTCCTCGTAAAGCAATGCCTATAAATATAAAATATGCATCTGCAGCCACACTTGTCTACAGTCTTCTGTATCATGTGTATGTTGTCCTTTTTCCTAAATGTTTGTCTTTTATCTTTCAGCATGAAAAGAAGTCATAAAGTTTCATAGTCTAGTGAACAAATAGCCTACTCAAGCATCTCGAAGTTAAGGGCTCCACGATTTTCACTGATTGTGAGATTGGTAACGTGTGTGTGTGTGTAGCTAAAACCTGAAGCGAAGTTGGAAAGTGCACTATTTTGAGGAAGGTAGAGCTGTCTCTCTCCAAGGTGCTGAATGAAGCTTAAGAGCCAGCTGTAGATCCCGTGGAGGAATGGAACATCTTATAATAAAGTGTCAGATTCTAAACAGCAAAACATGTCAGCTTTTTGACATTGTTTAAGCTGGACTGTTTTTCTCTGACCCAATTTAAGGGCATTTAAAACAAACAAAAAAAGCTATTAAAGAAAAAATGACAATAAGACTAATAAATAAATGAGCAAAAGGTGAGTCAAATACGGGTGCCACTAGTCATTTACATAGTTAGTTAGAAACCTGCAACAAACAACCACTGACCACTAGCTTATTAGCAATGTCCTTGTTTTTTAATATCTTTTTAACCTCTGTGTTTGTTTGTTTCATATTCATAACTGCCACACGGACTGTTCTGAAGGTACTGGTACCTGAGGAGCAAACTTCCATACTGTGTGTGTTTGTGTGTAAAAATATAACATGGTCTATATTGCTGAAAAATCAGGTTTGTTTTTTCAGCTGTCATTAGTATGAGTGATTATGTCTTTGGGGACGGCTTTCGATGTCTCCATTTTTCCTCTGCTATGCTTCTATTCCAGCTCAAAGTTGACTTCTGTCAGAAAAGCACGTCTGACACGAAAGCATCAGGCAATTTTTTTTTGCTTATAAACTGGAGTTCCACTCCACTTAATGTAAAATGGGACATTTTACGCATCTATTTTGGGGTTAGAAACACAGGTGCATAAATAGACTACACCAGTAATTTTGGTGTAACAGATGTCGATAAAAGACCAAATCCAAATTTGTTTAAAATGGAAAAACAGTATTTATGTCCAATTTGTCAAGTGGTTGTAAACCAACAACTTGTTTCTCTCTCAGAGAACTAAAGAGAAATATATTTTGCTATCTGTTGTCAGATCTCTGTTCCACCAGTTCTCAGCTTAGTATGAGCTCACAAATTCTAATCTCACCATCAGGATCAAATTTAATATTATATTGACTTTGTTTTTAAAATGAAAAGAAAATGACAGGGCTCTGAACTGGAATGGTTTGCCTTTTATTTATTTATTTATTTTAGTTATTTATCCAACCCTTTAAGACCCAGCAACCCTTTTAACAAAATGCCAAAACAGATAAAGACAATGAGAATTGACATATCTTCTTAATAATAGGGTTTTTTGTTTTCACTCAGTCACTAACAATTACTGGCATTCTGTGAATATGCTTCAATCCATTTTCCTGTCTGGCTTTCATCAGACATAATTACTGTCATCATTAGACTCTGAGAGGAATACAAATACTGTGATCAATATTGGCATTACTTCATAAACGGTGTTGCTAGGCCTTATGGGATTCCAAGCGGTTGCATGGATTAAGTAGCAGAGTGCATTTTAAAATGCTTCAAGACCGCAATAGTTCAGTTTCATGTAAGATATAATGAAAATATACATTTACTTTGCATTGGTTTCAATTAGCAATTGAAATGTATTTAGTTAATAGTCATTTAGATCACAAGACAATAAAAAAAGCTGTTCGTTTATTTATTTGCTAGTGTAATTTCATCAGTTCATTAATTCTAAGCCATTATTAAAGCTGTAGGTGCAATTTTGCATTCATGAATAGAATCATAATTCTGAAGGAAGTCGGCTCATTCCTAAAGCCATTGCTAGCTTTTTGACCTTACTACTTTTTGCCTCAGAACATTTCAGTCAGCTTTTCAAAGGATCTGTGAGCGAGCAGCAATAGCAATAAGGAAAAGCATTTAAAAGCTTAGCAAACAAGATGATAAATCTCAGTGAAAGCTTTAAAATGGCTTTGAATTATCACTTAGACCCCTTGAACTAAACATCTGATGTGGTTAATGAGACTACTCTCTATTTCTTATTATGCATCAACATGTTCTTTCTCTCTCAAACTTTCTTTCTGTTATTTCCCCATCACCACGCACCTGTCCAGGATCATTGAGGCGGTGTGCATTGGATGGTTCACGGCAGAGTGCATCGTGCGCTTCATTGTGTCCCGAGACAAGTGTGAGTTTGTGCGACGTCCGCTGAACATCATAGACCTGCTGGCCATTACCCCCTATTACATCTCTGTCACCATGACGGTTGTGACTGGAGAAAACTCTCAGCTGCAGAGGGCCGGCGTGACGCTGCGTGTGCTGCGCATGATGCGAATCTTCTGGGTCATCAAGCTAGCGCGACACTTCCTAGGGCTCCAGACTTTAGGGTTAACGTTGAAGCGCTGCTACCGTGAGATGGTCATGCTCCTGGTCTTCATTTGCGTGGCCATGGCCATATTCGGGGCACTGGCGCAACTTCTAGAGCACGGCCTGGATCTGGAGTCTGGGAACGAGGAATACGCTAGCATTCCTGCCGCCTGCTGGTGGGTTATTATCTCCATGACCACTGTCGGCTATGGAGACATGTACCCCATCACTGTGCCAGGACGTGTGCTTGGTGGCCTGTGCGTCGTGAGCGGTATAGTGCTGCTTGCTCTTCCGATCACCTTCATCTACCACAGCTTTGTGCAGTGCTACCACGAACTCAAGTTCCGCTCAGCCCGCTGCACCCAAAGCCTGTCCGCCGAGTTCCTCAACTGACCTCCCGGTAGGTTTAGCTATGACAATTAACGGGACTCAAATCTTTGCTTTCTGCTAGAGAAATCGATGTCTAGTGCAAAGATCTCCCGAGGCATTTCCATCTGCCACATTCATCTCCAGAACAGACTCTTCAGTATGTGTTGTATCTGTTACTCAAGGGGCTGGAGGAGGCTACCATGGTGACAGTATCACAGAGGCCAGGTGTCCTTGACAGGTACACACTGCTGGAGGGAAACTTTAAGAGGCCTTGAAAAGACTCAACGTCATGGCTCAACAAGCACTCATTCTCACAGAGATCTGCGCTTTACCTTATACATGTGGCATTTCTCCAAAGGATTTAGCTTTTGAATGCCACTTAGGCAGCCCACAGTGTTGGCAAGCAGATATGAGAGAAATAATTTAATCATCTTGTCACCCAGGAACCTTTCTCTTTGATGATGCCTTCATTTATAAGCAATGAAGTTTTAAAGCAGTACCGCTTGTTCCAGCATTTAATATATTGAGAGCCTCTCTTTTTTACTTACAATAGACTACAAAAACATGATTTTTAATCACTCTGTTCCACTTTCTGAATACTCTTTCCAGGCTACATTGTTGTGTATACTCAATTCAGTGTGACAGCAAACCTCCAGAGGTAGTGAGACATAATGAGCGGAATAGACTGAGAATTACAAGGATAAAGTGAGAGCTGTGTGGGCAGCTATGCTGAGAGGAACATAACGGGCCATGGAGAGAGAGTGCTGTCATGGAGAGTTGGGTGTTTTGGATGACACCACGCAGAGCATGTAGAGTTCTCCCCGAATCCTCTACCTCTGAATGTCCTCTACTGCCTTGCCGGTTTTCATACGGGAGCGAGATGCCTTGAGGCTCGTACACCTTCTGGGGTTTCACAGAAAGCTCTCTGTAGGTCCATGGAAGGTTCTGGAGATCTTTAGTGACACAGCTACCTCAAGGCCATCTCCTCCCATGGAGTCACCCATGCCACCCACTTCTCCCCGACTCATTGCTGTCTCTATTTTGTTGTGGCTCTTATGTTCCTCAATGCTCTTAAATGAACATTCAGAGAATGTGCTGTTATCTGTGTTTTTGTCTTTACACATTTCTCCAAGTGCATCATGGGAGGGCTTCTGCTAGAGGAAAAAAAGGGCGTAAAATTGTAACAAAACTGTTATTTGATGTTAAATAACATGTAAATAATCTTGACCTGTTTAAATTGTAAGAAGAATTTTAAAATGGAAGTCAACATTTAAGAAAGTCAACATGAAAATTGACCCTGTCTATTTTCTTGGTGCTCATTCATCTGTGCACATTATTCCAGATTCAGAAAAGTTTGTCTTAATAACTTGCCCCACCTCTGAAATTACTTTCCTTAGCTGATGCCACAAATCCCTGTTATGTTTTCAATCCCTTCCCTTCAACCACCAGGTCCATTAGGGTACGTGATATCCACTTTTCAGCATTCAGTCAGTTTCAGATGAATACATTCAAGTCCTACCCTACACCTTTCCTCACTAAATATGCTGTTCTGTTTCATGTGTAAATATTCAGATCATAGAAGTAAAATGAGTTTCATGTTGACTTGAAAAGAAAACACTGCATATTAGAGATCTGCATCATTTTACAATACACTTTGTTACAAACTAAACTTTTTTTTTTTTTTATGGTATTGTAAACATATTAGTAATTCCAATGTCCATGTACGCATCTCACGATACATAACAAAATTATGACTATGATATGGTACAATGTTTTTTTTAACAGTGCAATAATGATTATTTATGTATTTTGTATTTTTTTTTATATTTTAATTTTTTTCATTTTTTTTTTTTCATCTGGTCCCAGCTGCCAGCTTGTAGTTTATATATATATATATATATATATATAAGTATATTCTTCTTTATGTTGAAATCTTTTATTTAATAAATGTTTAACTGCAGATGTGTGATTGAGGACAAATATTTGGTTAAAATGTGTTATACTTTATTAATAGTTTAAGGGGGGCAGCAGGCAAAAACTATCAATAATATTATTTAGTATGATTTTTAAGGATGTATGTTATATTGTGTACAAAATGTCCTGTCCCGTCCCAAGGAATTTAATTAAAACAAAATTAAAAATTGACATCAGATTGACAAAATGCAAACACGATCACCAGTTTAAATAGAGACAAACTATCTGTTTAAAGAAGTGAGTGACAACCTTTCACTTTTTCTAAGAATAATTCCTCTTGTGCAAGGTGCGGTTCCTCTCTTCTCTGTAATTACCAGAGTCTCACTAATCATAGTCATCTTTATTCATATTCCTCACAGCAGTTTATGGATGGAAACCAGCAGTCACCGACTGCAGCACAGGCCTTTGTGAATTAATAATCAGAAGTTTGTGTGATTGGAAATAGATGCATTCTGTTTTGGTTTACAGGAAGCAAAATGTGTCAGACCAAAATGTGCTAAGATTTCCCTTCTCATTAATTAAACCTCCTGAAGAGATCATGCTGAGGTGTTCTCCATGTGCCTTCATATCACTTCAGACACAGACTCCCTTGGCTCACATGTACACACAACAACACCCAGAAATTAATGTGAAAGTGAAAATAAGCGAAATCCCTGAAATTAGTTGCAGGTGTCAGCTGCCACTCATTGGTTCTTAATACACTTTCATCCCACTGCTTCTCTCTATTGCCTGCTTCATTAATCATGTTAGGCATAAGGGTAAAAGCCATGAACATGTGGATAATAACATCTCTTAAACCAACAGATCTCTCTGTTTGTCAGTAGGATGTGATCTGTTTCACTCCAAATTTCAAGGTGCACACAGAGAATTCTCATCTGACACTTGCAAAACAGTGTTGCCAAAAGTATAGTCTAAATTGACATAACTATGTTTACTGTAATACTTTGTATGCCATACAAATCTCTCATACATCTCTTCCCCACCCCAATATCTTGTTTTATTATATTTACAACAGTTGTGCATTATGATCATATGTTGTGCATCACTGATATGATAGCTTGGGCTTATCACACATGACTTGAGCTTTTTGTAGGGATTTTTTATACCCCCATTAATGTTTAGTTAAAGAAGAGTGTTTGAAATCCACCTGTAAAGTCTAACTACAGTTAGGCTATTTTTCCTTTTTTTTCTGCATCCACTAGTACTGTAAGCTTCCAATGTATTTGTTAAATAGAAAGTCTATTTTGAATAAACTAGAATGCCTCTGTGTTAGCTAAAGCAGGTCTTGACAAAAATTCTTGAAAACTGGATATTAATAAATAGTACAAAATGAATTACTGTTTTGTGTTTTTATTTTTTGTAGCTCTTCCAAATAAACACAAAAAAACTCCATATGTAAACTTGACATTTTTGACATTTTATTTTTTGAACAGCCATATTAAGAGAAGACGAAAAAAAAATCTAAATAATATTAAAAAGTCTCATTTGTGTTTCTGAATAATGTTAATCAGACCTTATTATAGTCATAACTCCCAAACAAGAGGAGAAAAACATATAATATAATAAAAACAGTTTACATTTCTGAAGGTAGCAAAAATGCTAAATCCTTTACGTATTAAACTGAACACGAGTCTGTATGATTTTTTTATTTATTTATTTATTTTATTTTTTGTATTTATTTATTTGTGCAGTAAAACAGTATTATTGCTAGGAAATATTACGATTTACAATTTACTGGCCACAAACTTTTGAGCAGTAGTATAAATGATCTTATTCACAATTTAATAATAGTTTTTGTCTGAACAGAGCACAGTCTATGGAACAGAGGCAGGGAGGGTTGACGCTTTTTTAATCGGGCAAGAATCGGGCTGCTAAGTGACGTAATTTCCGACGGGGTCCTCTCACTCTCAGGCACATAGAGCAGGTGGTGGGATGTGATCCTGTCAGTGGTGTGACTCACAGTATTATCAGCGAAAATGTACTATAAGGTCAGCGGAGTCACTGGGAAATTAACGGGAGCCACAGCAGCGTCCGCTTACAGCCCGCAGGTACTCAAACCTTCCGCTGCTGTTCGGTGAGAAGCGAGAAGTCTGGAGTGACCTTCACAGGAAGCACTTCACAGACACTCAGTCACTGCGCAAGTCTGGCTTTATATTGTGCTGATATTATAAACACTCACAACCACCCTTGGTTTGTTGTCTGCCTTGTCCTAAGTAATGTAGTCAACTTCTGTCATTAATAATGAATCCGAGTGTTTAAAGACCGACGTTAGAGCTGCAATATGGCCTCGGCAGGATTTTATAGCTCCTTAAAACACAATTCCTCTGAGGTCCTGGAAGCCAGCTGTTGAAAGGAAACATAACTGTTTTAGCATGAACAGAATTTATACCAAATAATTAAAAAGTTAAGGTCTATTTGTTTAATGTCAAGGATAGCTGTATGGTTCAAAGCTCCGTTTCTTTTCATTCCTTTCTAAGGTTAAGAGGTTAAGATATGTTTACCTGACCTTGTCTATTCAGTCCATAACTTGGATCAAAGAACAGCTGCCTTTCATTGCTTTCTTATATGCTTTTATTCTTCTATCAAACAGGCAAGGAAACATTTTGAACAATCCTCATGCAGCTCTTTTCGCTGCTACAATTCATATTGAGATTATCTATAAAGCTCCAAAGAGGATAAAACACTATAAGAGTGTTAGATAGTCATGATGGATGATTAATTGTCTGATATTAGTGTATCCAGTTTTGTAGACTATATGGTGATTTTGGGGTCCTTTTCAGACCTTGAGATATGGTTCACTGTGAGTGACCTTTGTGGGGAGTAGAGCTGTGTAAATTTGTCCTTTTGTGTTTAGTGGAAGAAAATGCCAGCATAGGGGTTTGGACTGATGTTAAGATGAGTAAATAATGGCAATAGTCATTTTTTGGTGCCGTAATGTCTCTGCAGCTCATCTGTCATTGTGTTTGTCCTGACAGGGGCTGAAGGCCACAGTTCCCTCTCAAGCTCCTCCCATGATCTTTGCTGTACCGACCAAGGTTGTTTCAGAGACCGGCTCAGTGGCACACTACATGGGAATCAACAAAGTTCCTGAGCTGCAGAAGATTTTCCAGGTGTTGCACTGTAATGTTTGATTTTTTCATGACACAGTGATTTAGATATTTCATAACAGAAAAGGTACTCCTTCCCCATTGACTATTTTCTTTTTTGATTTGAAACTTGGACATGAACATGAGCCTTCAGTCCCAAAACAGCTTCACATTTTGCAACACCTGAGTTAAAAACAAAAGACTCAAAACAGTATAACTAATATTATAAGTTCAAACTCTAAATTGTAATTGGAAAAGCCACATTCAGGTTCATGATAAAAGAGCAGATGTGTCATTGAACACTCATTAATGAAGAAGTTGAATTGTTGTTACAAATGATACGTTTTTGCTCCCATATGTAGCTAAAGCAGTCCTCCCCACTGATAGCTACGCAAATATATTGTTTATCCCGCTGTCTATATATAACTAAATATCTGCCATAACAAATTATACAGTTGCTCTCAGTCCTTAACTTATTCTCTAGAATAAAATAAAAAAATATTTCTAAATTAAACCATATACATTGGTAATGCTAAAAAATGTTCGAATTAAGGCTGGGTATTAAAACCGATTTCACAATTTGATTCCGATTCACAAACGCTCGATTCAATTCCGATTTTGTTATTGATTTGTTGGATATATCAGCTACAGTACGTCTCATGTTTCTTAAGTAAAACAATCTCTCAACTAATGCTGTAAACTATACAGTTGGCACATAATATTAAAGGTTAAAATTAACATTCAAATTCAACTGCTACTTATTTTTAGATATTCAATTCAAATTTATTTGTATAGCGCTTTACACAATACTCATCGTTTCAAAGCAACTTTACAGAAAATGCATGTCTACATTACAATTTAGAGTGATCTGTTATCAGAAGTGAATGTGTTCAAGTAATGTTCATTTCATAAACGAACAGTTCAAGTTAATAGAATCATACAGTTAGCTAACATGAAATTAATTTCAGGCAGAAGCTCATTAAAGCGATTATTACAAGTGTGATCATAATATAATATATGTTGACATAGGGCTGGGCGATATAGCTAAAAAAATTATCGACGATATAATGTTTCATATTGTTCGGTATCAATAATTATTGACATTTTTATAACCTTTTTTAAAACAAAAAGCAATAGCAAAATAAATGTTTAAATTTAACCACTGTATTTATAATTAACACTATTTATTGAGACAAACAACATTTTTTTTTTTTTTAACAAACACAATAAAAATTAAACATCTCATTTCTAATGTTTTATATGCAGATTAAATAGGTCTTTATTGTATAGGTCTAATTGTCTCCCGAGGCCACAGGAGGGCGCAATGAG